GGCTAATAAAGGGTCATTTCATTTCATTGAAGTTCCTGCCGAATCCGCCCAGAGGGGCAATGGGGGCTTTGCACCAAAAATTGCTTACCATTGAAAAATTAGCGGGATGGCCGAAAGCAAAATTTATATGATGAATTAGATGAATAAGCTACCGATTCACTTAATCCATATGAACAGTGCCTCTTTTTGGGTCTCAGATGGTAAGATTCAGATTTAGGTACTTAGAGGAATCGATTAACTTTTTGAGAGGTGATAAATTAATATGAACAAACGAAGTATTTCTTCGCTCGCTACAGCACAAGGGTATGCATTTTATGAATGAGCGAATAATGGAAGCACTGGAGCGTGATACAAATAATGAAATAGCAGCAGGCGACTCTCTAGCAAAAAATTACAAGCCCAATTTGAGCATTTTACCGACCTATGCATTTTTAATCCCATTAGTGGGGTTCCTCATTAGTCGCAATAACTGACTCGGTTCTGGCAGTGGTGAAAAGTTATTTTTACTGATGATGATGCCCAATGAAGAATTTCAAAATGACACGCAACAAAGCTGTATTGCCGTCGTTTGCCCTACATGTCCGAACATTTGAAAAATCAGACTTTTCAATCGTTAGACGATTTCTATTCAAATTTAGCAGGAAAATTACTTCAGTTTTCACGGCAGCTGACCTCTACATTCCCGATGCAGCAAAATGTCATTCTGAAGTTCAGCAATCATCATATCATCATTCCGAGGAGTAGCAACTCCAGGAAAATTCCAAACTAGGACGGGATAGAAGGGCAACTTTGTTCAGGAGACGACGATATCGTCCAAGGATTTCCAGAGACGCCCAGGGATCGGCGCGGCCTCAGCAGCGGCCTCAGCAGCGGCCTCAGCAGCGGCCTCATCCCATGGGGCATCCTTCATGCCTCCGTGTGGCATTAGGAGGCGAGGGTGGAGGGCGGCGGGAAATTATGAATGCAGACAGGGTTCCGTCCGATCAGCTGTGACCTTGATGAAGTGAATGCTGTGATTCCATATGGAGATAGTTTCAGTTGAGGGGATTTCCGCCAGACACAGGCCCAGCACTCGGAGCTGGACTGTCTTACACCTGCGCATCAAAATATGTTACCTAATATTTTAGTATAATATTTTAATATAATATTTTGAACACAAAATGTGTTACCTAATTTTCTAAAATAGGTAATATATTAGGGTCTTTCTTTTATAGATGCAGTCCGTTGATCTTTATAGGGTCATTGACCCAATTTTCGTTTTCAAGTGATTTGAGAAGAATTGCTCTGTACCTGATTGATGAGCATAAGATTGTCATGACTCTTGTTACCGTGGTTAAGAGAAGCGTTTAGCCACTGCATCAGAAGTTCCTTAAGCATGGCAGCTTTGAAACTGCAAAAAAAAAACATAACCAACTCGAACGAAAATTCACACATCACAGCTGTGCTTCTCTGCTTGGAAAATGAGGCAAATTCCTCAGGGCAAAAAAAAAAAAAAAAAACATTGAGTCGTCACGACAAGAGGAGGAAAAAGTCCGAAACTGGATTCCATGTAAGCGTATTGCCTCCAAAGCGGGAAAATCCATATGAACCTCAAGGTCAAGCCAGTGGAAACAATAGTCCTGTGTATGCAAAGCAGGTTTTTTTTATTCCACATGATCGCTGTGATCCATCTGAGAATCTCCACGGTCATTGTCAAAGCCCCGAGAAACGCAAAAAGATATGGGCAAGCCCCCCCGAGAGCTAAAACCTAGTAGCTAACTGCGTCATCCATCATCCTCTCCTTCTCCGCCCTGCTATATAAGCACCCTCAACTGAATCAAACCCAACTCGTTTTCCATCTGCTATTCGAACACACAAAATAGAGTTGATCCTTGTGCATTTGTCTTCCGCATCTGCAGCAGCGCTCGCACTGTCAGCATGAAAGTCGTAAGTCTTCCTTTCTATAGTCGGGATCGAGAAACCGTTGACAGTCATCACCCTTATAATTTCTTTTCCAACAATCTTCATGGAATCTTATCAATTCAAGACCAGCTTGAAAACCTTGATTTCGGATTCTAATCAATGCGATGATAGATATTACTAATTGAACCTCGGTAAAATACACGGGACCAATGAACGCTCAATCGTCGTACTGGCATCTCACGAAAGTAAATACATTTTAAATGCTTCAATAATAAGAAAATGAAACGTATTTATATACATATTTGATCGACACAATTTTTCGCAAGGTGCCACGAAAGGCATAGAGCTTTCAAGCACGATCGTTACAGCATTTTTGCCGATGTACATACAGGTGTTGGGATTGTCTGTACTGATCTGCCTGTTGGCTCTTGCTCACGGGGCGGATGAAAGAGCAGAAGACCTCGACCCGGCTGAGTCTGCTTTTTGGGTCAGATGGGGAAGAGGCTGGGGCGGCGGATACGGAGGTAATTCACGTTTCACCGATATCGATGATGTAATTGCGCACATGAATGCGTCCTGGACTTCATGAAGTAATAGGACGATGAAGCCTGGAAAAGTTTCTCTTCGCAATTACGTTGAGATTACTCGCAACAGAGATATTAATTATTTGACGGGTGACTTATTTGTGCACTGTCTTTCGTAGGAATTATGGTTGCTTACATTCAATCTAAACTCAACGACGAAATGAAATTATTTTTGAGATGGAACGGGAAGGACATGAATTAGGAAGCAACGAATCAGGAAAAAAAAACCTGAAAATATATCATATTCGTAAAAACCCATATAAATATATGAACTTTCGTGGGACATGGTTTGAGCCACCGTGACGTCACAGATCACATCAATAGGCTCTTGATGAAAGCGAGGGAGCGGTTCTTCTGGACACTGGACACCTTCGTGTTGGTGCATCCTTTGAGTCTCGAATTGAATGTCTTTCTTACTTTTTTCTGCACAACCACTTGAGGAAAATTTCCTCCAAATTTGTTGATTTCGGGGATTGCGGGAAAATTTTTGAAATTTGACAATTGTTTCCCTCTCTCTTCATAGGTTGGGGAAGAGGATGGGGAGGAGGCTGGGGAAGAGGCTGGGGAGGAGGCTGGGGGGGAGGCTGGGGGGGACGCCGTTACTTTTGGGGCTGAACGCCTTCTTTGACTCATCAGCTGTTTCTTCGCTTTCCTCCCTCTGTTTCATGTCATCCTTTCGTTCATCCTCATTCCATTCTCATTTCATTCGTTCAGTTCAAGTGCAAGGGGCTTCAGCTTTCAATGATTGTCAAAAACGACTTCTTTCCATTCTGAATAAAAGCCCGCCTCGCCTTTCCGTCCAATGTTTCATTTTCAAAATGTCAATCGAATGTTTTCACGGGACGGAAATTTTCGGAAAAATTATGCAATGATGAGTATGAGTAAAATGTTTTATCTTCGTCAAATTCCTGATTGTTAAACCTTTGGTTCATGAAAGCTACTTCTTATTCAGGCGCTATTGCCCAAAGAAACTAAACGATTGCAGCCGTCTTTAATGGGCGAAAAGTGAACCATATACGAAACCGGGAATGAAAGGAGAGAGAACAATTCATTCTGCATGCTGATTCCGCCTTTGGAAGATGTAAATGAGGAATTTCAGCAATTAACCGGGAAACTGGTAAATCGACCTATCTGTCGACAGGTTAGGATAGGTCGATAGATTGTACTATTAATGATAGCCGGTTTGCATGAACCGCTGTTTTCGACTGATCTTTCCAACTCTTTCATTTGCAGAACCTTGCAGCATTAATATTGACAATGATTTTCTAGCTGTATTTTCCATGCTAGCAGGATGGGACTCTGAGTCTGCATCGGGCCATATTGCGAATGAATGGAAACGTATGTTCGGAAATGTGACTGTGCACGCATTTTCTGTCAACTGCACTCAAGGATCTGGACATATGCATAATATGGGATTCGACCGATGTATTTTATAGGATTTCGCAATTCGAATAAAACGTTCGAAAATTTTTAGAAAAGCAAAATGTTTCTTAAAAATCCTTAGAAAGTCTGTGACTAAGTGAAAAAGACGCCATCTACCGATGAGGAATTAAACAGAATGTCAGAGAGCTGTCAAAATCTGACCTGCGTTCAAACGTGTTTCTTATGATTGAGAAATCCCGCAGGTCACTGCCAGAGCTCCTTGTTCCCCAGAAGAGGAGAATAGACGCCTGAAGGGAGAATGACCCGCGAGTCCCTTGGTACGTCGGGTGTATTGCCCTTTCCACTATGTTATATACTAGAAATTTTTTTTAAATCGTTCTTCCTCACTATTCTCGTGGGTTCTTCCATTTATTTTTTTTTTTTAACGCACATTATTTTGATGACCGCATGACATCTCTACGACGTGATAGGTTGAGCTAGAAATTCTTCTAAAATGAATCAAAGATTAATTCATAGATGGCCTCATTGGCGTACAAGGTTCTGATGTTGAAAGCCCATAGATTTTTCCGCCGAAGTCTCTAAGAAAAGAATGAATTTCATATTTACCAACAAGGAAGGTTTCCTATGGAGAAAAACAATTTAAAACTGATATCGGAAGTTCATTTAAACATGGCAGCTTTGAAGCTACAAAGAAACAGCGTCCACTCATGCGACAATCCTCCTCAAGATGCCCAGCTAAGGAAAATTCACGCATCTTACCACCGGCTGCACTTCTCTGCGTGGAAAAATTAGACAAATATTGAATAAAATCTGTGTCCTTCATAGGATATCCGAGTTCAATTTCAGTGCTTCCCAAAATTGAAAAATAATAAAAAAAAATTTGAACTCGAAGTAATGCAGTAATGAACTCGAAGTCACGACTTCAGGGGGGGGGGGGGGGAAATTGAGCTGACACGCCAGGATGAAAATGAAAAGTCCGAAACTGGATTCTGGCACGTTAACCTAATGCGTCCAAGGCGGGAAAATCCGAACGAACCTCAAGGTCTCCGTCAAACCAAGCGGAAACATTCGTCTCATCACATGCAAATGCATATTTTTATTCAGTGAAGTCGTTATGATTCACATGGGAATCCCCACGCTCGCTGTCAAAGCCCTCAAAGACGCAAAAAGGGATGGGCAAGCCCCTAAGAGCTACATCCTAGCAGCTAACTGCGTCATCCATCATCCACTCCCTCTCCGCCCTGCTATATAAGCACCCTCAACTGAACCAAAACCCACCCATTCTCCACCTACGATTCGAACGTACAAATTAAGGTTGATCCTTGTGCATTTGTCTTCTGCATCTTCAGCAGCGCTCGCACTGTCAGCATGAAAGTCGTAAGTCTTCCTTTCTATAGGTACTCAGTTGGGATCGAGAAACCGTTCATAGTCATCACCCTCATAATTTGTTTTCCTACAATCTCATAAGATCATCAAGACCAGCTTGAAAACCTTGATTTCAGATTCTAATCAATGACAAATATTTTTACTCGAACCTTGGTAAAATACACGTGACCAATGAACGCTCAATCGTCCCAATGGCTTCTCACGAAGGTATACACATTTTACATGAGTCAATAATAAGAAAATGAGAATGTTTATTTATTTGATCGAAATAATTTTTCGCGGGGTGCTCTATAGGACATGAAAGGCGTGAAATTTTCAAGTACGATCGTCACAGCATTTTTTTCCATGTACATACAGGTGTTAGGATTGTTTGGGCTGATCTGCCTGATGGTTCTTGCTCACGGGGCGGAGGAAAGAGCAGAAGACCTCGACCCGGCTGAGTCTGCTTTTTGGGGCAGATGGGGAAGAGGCTGGGGCGGCGGATACGGAGGTAATTCACGTTTCATCGTTATCAATGATGCAATTGCAGATATAAATGCGTCCTGGACTTCATGAACTGGTAGGATGATGATGATGATGCCAGGAAATTTTCTTTCAGTCCCTATGTCGAGATTACTCACAACAGAAATTTGAATTGCTCGATGTGTGACCTGTTTGTGCGCTGTCAATCATAGGAATTGTCATTCTTAACATTCGACCTTAACTCAGCGACGAAATCAAATTGTTTTCAAGATGGAACGGGGAGAACATGAAATGGCGGAAACAACGAATTAAAAGAAGAAATAAATGAAAACATGTCAGATCCGTCCAGCTGCTTCTCGCAGCATGAACAAGGACACTAAGCGTCCCTTTACCATTTTCGAAGCGTCAATAAGCAGAAATAAATATTTATAGGTATATTTATTGCCTTTAATTCAAAGCGGTCCGATTTCGGGAGCGATGCGGAAAATCTCACAGGACTGAGTTATTATCAAATTATTTTTCTCCTTCTTAGTTGTTGAGCAATAGAGGATGTCCTCTCAAGGGTTGAAGCCAACTGGATATCAACATATTTTTGTATGGAAAAACAGTCAAAAGTGCCTCCTGTTGTTTTTCGTTGCCTTGATCGACCTGTGAAGGAAGGGCATATCCGGAGGACAGAATATTGTTCACTCTCAACATGGAATACGGGTCTGTACCTAGTCACTAAGAACTGCCGTGGGACATGGCTTGAGCCATGCGACGTCACAGATCACATCAATAGGCTCTTGATTAATGCGAGGGAGCGGTTCTTCCAAGAAGGAGCGGTTCTTCCAAGAAGGAGCGGTTCTTCCAAGAAGGAGCGGTTCTTCTGGACTCAAAGCATGTTGACTGACACCATCTTGATGTATGCTTTGAATCTTGAATTGAATGCTTTTCTTACTTTTTTCTGCACAACCACTTGAGGAAAATTTCTTCCAAATTTGTTGATTTCAGGGATTGCGGGAAAAATGTTGAAATTTGACAATTGTTTCCCTCTCTCTTCATAGGTTGGGGAGGAGGCTGGGGAAGAGGCTGGGGAAGAGGCTGGGGAGGAGGCTGGGGGGGAGGCTGGGGGGGACGTCGTCACTTTTGGGGCTGAACGCCTTCTTTGACTGTTCTTCAGCTGTTTCTTCGTTTTCCTCCCTCTGTTTCATGTCATCCTTTTGTCCATCTTCATTCCATTCACCCGAGGGCATTCGTTTAGCTAAAGTGCAAAGGGCTTCAGCTTTCAATGATTGTCAAATATGACTTCTTTCAATTCTGAATAAAAGCCTGCCTCGCCTTTCCGTCCAATATTTAATTTTTCAAAATGTCAATTGAATGTTTCCACGGGGCGGAAGAGCGGCCAAAATTATGCCGTGATGAGTATGAGTAAAATGTTTTCTCCTTGTCGAACTTCGTCGAAAATTGTGAGAGAGTCTGCGACCAAATGAAAAAGGCGTCATCGCTCGATGAGGAATGAAACGTAACGTGAGAGAGCTGTTAAAACCTCATCTGCGTTCCGACGTGTCTCTCATGATCGGGGAATCCCGCAGGTCACCGCCAGAGTTCCTTGTTCCCCGGAAGGGGAGAATAGACGCCTGAAGGAAGAGTGGAAAGACCCGCGAGTCCCTTGGTATGTCGGGTGTATTGCCCTTTCCACCCTGCTATAAAGAAGCCTCCTGCCGGAGCAGATCCCGTTCATTCTCCGGCCGCTCCTCGACCATTCAACACAGGCACTTTCTGCACTCGTCTCCTGTGTCCGCAGTTCGTACGAACCTTCAAAATGAAACTCGTGAGTATTCCCTAATTTCGACTCTTCGAATTGTGGGGGGAGATAACTCATAGCCAGGGTCAGGAAACCACGCGTTTCAAGTTCATCGCTCTTGCCCTTGATTATCGATTAAATGCAAAGCTTTCAACTTCACACGATGTCATAATCCATTTTGGTATTTCTTCCTTCCATTTATTTTTAAAGAAAATTTCTCGTCTTCTTGCTATTTTCGAGGGTTCTAACTTTAATTTTTTTTTTCAACATGATATTTGGACATTGGCCGCATGACATCTCTTCGACGTGATTGACCGAGTTAGAAGTTCCCCAATAGAAATCAAAGATAGATAATGATGAATATTGAATGAATTTCCGTAGATTTTTCCGCCAAAGTTTTTCGGAAGAAATTGAATTTCATATTCGTTAAAAACTGAGGTTTCTCCCATAGATTTCGATGGGAAAATCCCTGCGGATTTTGACAGTTCCTTTCCCCAAGGGATGTGCTTTAAATAAGCCTATGAAAGGAAGAATTTGTCTTTTCCCATGAATCTGACATATTTCCTCTCCTTTTTAACGGACGCATGTATTTTAAATGTAATTCATCGAATGGGCATTGTCGTCGATGTTCACACAGGTGTTGGGACTTTCCGCGTTGGTGTGCCTGATGGCTCTGGCCCACGGGAAACCAGAGGAGGAAGACCTCCTTCCCGCTGAATCCGCCCATTGGGGCTACAGCGGATATGGGGGCTATCCCAGCGGTGGCGGCTATGGCGGCTATGGCGGCTATGGAGGTATTTCTGGAGTTCTATTTCAAATCTCACAGCTGTCGATATGAGCAAACAAATACGCACTGCGCTACATTAACAAGTTGAGTGATCATAAAGCTAAAAAATTTTTATTTCCGTCCAGAAGTCAAGATCACTCGCAGTAATAATAATACTAGCCGGTGTATGGAAGGTTGTGCGATTTTTAATGGTTTACGATACCCAAGTCTGACGATGACGTCTAAAGATTATCGAGGATGAAAGGGTGATGGTATTGTGACGGATGAGGATGGCATCGAGAGACTCGACTGAATGTCCGGGGATTCGGTGGTGTAATGGTAGCACACCTGACCGGCAATCAGGAGGCCCNTAATGGTAGCACACCTGACCGGCAATCAGGAGGCCCGGGTTCAATTCCCGGCCGTTCCTTGGCTTCTTTCGTCCTCTCGTGCCGTCCGTCGTCCGTCTCCCATTTTACCTCCGTAACAGTATAGAGAACATGGATGAATTTACAAGGAGTGCTCCTAAGCACGTTCCGAACGAATCAGAATTTGACTGACGAAAAGCAGATTGGAATTTATAAGTTGCATGCAAAAGTAACGCGCACCCTGGTAGATTAGTAGCACCCTCTCGAGGGCTGTAGCCGACAGGGTAGAAGAATCAAAATTTATGGAAGAAATCGACGACTTTTCTTCCTAGGTTTGATTGATCTATGAAGTAGTCTCGTATCCGGAAGACAGAATTCGACCCCTTAAGTGACAGTTCGGTTTTTCCATTTTCTATTCATATGTAAACTTTCTCCCCCCCCCCCCCCCCTTCTTCGACTACCTAGGCGGAGGCTACGGAGGCTACGGAGGAGGCTACGGAGGCTACGGAGGCGGATACGGGGGCTACGGTGGCTACGGTGGCCACGGTGGCTACGGTGGCCACGGCCATGGTCACCATCACCATCATCATCATGGATATCATGGATAATCCCCTTCTCGTGCCGATCAAATTTCCCCGCTTTCCCTCTCATCTGTCATCTGTCATCCATTCGCACTCTCATCGCACGAAGACATTCGCTCAGCCCTTCTACAAAGCGACTATGTTTTGATTGATCGTCGAAACGATGTCTTTTTCATTCTAAATAAGCACCAGAGAGCATTTATTTCCTCCTGATTGATCATTTGGTTTTGAATATATCAATCCGGTGCTTTCACGAGGCGGAAATTTTCGGAAATTTCTGCACAGTGTTTTCGTTTCTCCGTGCATCTCGACTGCCAAAAAATGTCAATCATGGTTGCGATGGCAGATACTTTCCGAAGAATGATAAGGGGAGCAGTCTGGAATGGTCAAGATGCGAACCGGTTATCGAACATGCGAGACAACAAGGGGACGGGTCATCGAACCCATTCATTCCGTACCCGAGAGTCTTCAGCCATAAACGAAGCACGCCCGCATCCCCGAGGACAGACCCGCAGCGGGCCTCATCCGGCGTCATTCCGCCGCGAGTCCCCGGACGACCGAGAGCGTCGACGCCGTCGACGCTCTCGGTTGGACGGCTGCCACTATACAGCCCGGATGTCGCATTGTGCGGGTGTCATTTACGGGAAACACTTTTTCACTTTTGCCAGCGTTTCACATGTGTAATGAGGTGCAATTGGTCTCACGTGAATCGCTTCGATGCTAGGCCTAATCGTTTTATGCTACCGGAATACGAGAGATTGTACTCAGGTGGGATAAGAGTCCTAATTTAAATTATTTATCCCAAGGATTACCATCAACCCTCACGTGCTTGTTCATAATTTCATTTAAAGACTTTTTTTTTAGTGCTCCTCGTATGTAATAAAGATGATGACTGCATTCGTTCACGCTGAGGGGATTTCCTGTCAGTGCAGAAAGAGCATAAAGAACTTTAGGGTGGATTTTTGAACAGAGCACTATCCGATAATGCAGCTTTATTTACTGGATTTATCATGCATTTTCTCTGAAATAAAGCTGCATTATCGGATAGTGCTCTGTTCAAAAATCCACCCTTAGTGTGCTTTTATTAGCTGCCCCTCTCATTTCCAAGTGTTTTGCTTCCGTTTATTCCTTTCAGAGCATTCTTCCCGTATTAACTTTTAATTAATTAAATTAAGCACTGTCGACTCTTCGGTGGCATCAAGATGCGAATAATTCTCGATATTTCCGGATTCTTTCGTGCGCGGTGGAAACATCGTCCTCGACTGTAAAAATCTCCGATGCATCATTTTCCTACGAGCAGTCGCGATGCTCTCGTCCTCTTTCACTGCTTCTTCTTCTCGGTTGGGGCTGAAAGGTTTTTTTTTCTTCTGGTATGGTCTATTTCGTGGTCTGTGGTCTATTTCTTTCGTATGGTCTAGAGGAGGATCGCATTGTCCATTACGTTATTGGTTTGCAAGGGGTTTAGGTTTACTTTTTTTTTTCTCTGTGACATGTGCTTCATGAGAAAATTCCTTTTTATTTCTCCTCTGGTGTCTACCAGCCGTTTCAAGACCAGTTTCGCAGAGTGTTTTGGTAATTCTTCGTTAATTAACCGTCATCCACGTGGTGTCTTACGAGAAAATAGCTGAGACTGCGGTCGGTTTGTCGCTTTTCCTTCCCACAGCCTGGATCGGAGTGTCAGTCACTGGCTAAAACTAACATTTCCTATCCAGTCCTTGCAGTTGGCGGATCCAAAGTTGAAAAAGGGAGAGAGCGGCTGATTGAGCCAGCATAGACAGTGTTGCAGGTCGAACTCACTAAATGACGCATCTGGCATCCTATACGTTTCGCTCTCCTCCCATCCCCAGGCGATGCGGACGAGCCGAGGAGTTTTTACGTCGATCTACGGATAGCAGCTTTTACTTTTCCAGAAAGGTTTGATGACGCAGAGGAGAGAGATAACCCCAGTGGTATAGCAGATCTGTACTTAGGCTGGTTTCTTTTTCCCTCAACTTCTGAGGCTGCGACGATGTTTAGGGTCGCGAAGTGGTCGGTCAAACTCACTCACGAACCCTTTCATCCAAACCGGGAAGGTCAAGAAAGGCTGTTTTCTTAATAAACTTCGTTTCTTTTGAGGCAAGAGTCATACTTTATTCTGTCATGCTATGGTCGTCCCACATGTTCCAAATGGTAAGGCCTCGGGCTTTCCCCTTTCAAGTTCCAAGACTTCGTTCAAACAATAATTCAGTCCTAGGGAACCTGCAGCTCGGTAGGCTGTTCGGCGGACCTTGGTTTGTCCCGGATGATCGCAAAGAACAGGCCGGTACTTACATTTCTCTGGCTCGTGGATGGAGGGGGGGGGGGGGGGATATAATAAAATATTGACTTGGAGGTTCTAAAATGGACGAAGAGGGAACGGAATATACCCGAAAACAAGATTTGCTATTCAGCAAAAAAAAGACAGGAAGGAGTTCATGTAAGCCTGCGAACTGACATGCATGCGAAGGCACCATTGCACCGGCAAGCCGCTATCGAAACTTCGTTCCATTCAAGGCTAACGCTTTTAAAGTGAGCAATCATTGGGAGACCTGTGCAGGCGAGAAATCGAGTGCTCGTTAAAAAAAATGTCGATCCGGGAAAAAAGCCGAAGGCGCGAAGGCCATCGACGATGGGAACCCTGGTGGACGAAGAGCAGATAACCAAAGTGGAGAGAATGATGGCCTGGGTTACATGAGTAGTCAGATAGGCGCAACAACTACTGTCCAAGGGGGGGAGGGGGGGGGGGTAATGGTGTGACTCAGCGCTAGAAGATAACACAAGCCAAAGGATTCGGGGTCTATGCTAGTATGCTGCTCAATGATGCATATTAATGTTGGGCTGGGAAAGGTGAACGGGGAGGGTTTTCGTCCAGGCATGGCATGTTTAAAAAGAAAAATGATGAATTACGTCAGAAATTAATAGGGAATCGGCTCCGGTTCGTTTGAGGCCTTCACCCAGCATGTACTAAACACGAGATAATTTTATATTTCGTATATTTAATGTGGGAATGGAGACCTCGCCTATTTTCCATCTATCTCCATTTCCAACTCGAGTCTCTTTCCTTGTTTTCCTCCGCGAAGGATGACGTCGAAGTGAGGACAGAAATGAAGCAACTCGACTACACTGTAAAAAAAATATATATATATAGGGTAAAAGACCCAGTGATGGGCCTGTTAATGGCGGGTACTCAGTGATGGGCCACTTCGCAGGAAAATTCCAAAAACTAGGCATTTGTTCCATGAACACCTCTGAAGTGTCCATGTGCTTGAATGCTGCTAGCATATGTCACAACATGGGTAGGCTTGCTATGGAAGCTTAGCTATTGGAATTTTTATGTGCTGTGGCCCATCACTGGGGACCGGTCCATCACTGGGTCTTTTACCCTATATACGCGGTAAATCAAATTTTTAAAAATTTAATTCCTGGAGCTGCCAGGATCTCAGGTCTTAGACACGACAGATAATGTTATGATCACGCATTCACATGATCACGAGTAATTAAGCGACTAATTAAGCGAAGATGGTGAACAGATGGTTGTAAGGATCCCATGGAATACCATGATGGTTTGAATGATGAAAGCTAATTCCTTCGAAAATTGCCTCATGGATAACTGTACCTTACTCGGAATATACTGCACCAAACGAGTCCATTTTTATTACCGGCATCACGTGTATTATCTTCATTCATTTTGCAAAATCTCGCATAAAATTTCTCTGACAGAGATGCATAAACTGCGAAGGATTGCAGATACATGATACTAAAAATATTTTAAAAACACTTTACAACATGTCTTTTAAACAGCAGAGAAGCTGTTTGGAAAATTCTGCAAAATGTGTTTTGGCGGTGCGCATCACGTCAGTTATCGAATTGACTCGTATTCTGTGCTCCTGGTTAGNTTGCAAACAATGTAAATTTCTTGCGATTGCCATGAAAATGACATCACGTTTACGTAAAATTTATGTTCCTATATTTACGTCACCAAAGTGTACGTGTATTTTACATCAATTAGACGTCACTCCATTTGACGTGAAGTACATGATATCAGGTTTATGAAAAATTAACATCACACCATCCATATGAAACTTTAGCTGACCATCCTGCAGTTGCAGTACCAAGATTCCTCACTAGATGGAACCCTTGTTCCCTGCATCCTATAATTACTATTAAGTACTGGTTTTCCTGATATAGTACCAGGTTTTATTACCATCCTTTTACTTTTTATTATGCAATCCATGAATATATATATGGAAAACATGAAATTATAATATATTTTTTTATAATACATGACTCAGGGAATCATTAAATGCTGAAGTTAAGATTTTTATTACAGCAGTGCACGGAATTAGGGAAGAGTAGAATCCCAACCCCACAAGTACTACATCTTCTCTATCCTAAAAGGAAGAGAGCTCCCTTGAACATCTACTCCTCCTCCCGAGGTTCCAGTACGGGAGGAGGAAGCAGTAGGTCACTTTGGTACTCTTGAGTGCTGGTGAGAATGAGTACTCGTGTACGCGTCCAACCAGCCTAGAGTTCTGAAGAACGTAAAGGAAGAGGAGGTTCGGTATATCAATGGGACTGATTGACTCTTTAAATACGCATGAATGCCAGGCGAAAATTTGCATAAATCTTACGCAAAAAGAATGTAAACATGCTGTTTGGAATGCAAACGGGAATGTCAATTTTACGTAAAATTTACGTTAATTTTATATCACCGTTTACGTATCACAGAGGTGACATTTCTGCAAACATGTTGACATTTTCTTGACAAAGGTTTGCATAAAAATGATATAAAATGGACAAAAACTTTGCATTCATTTTACGTAAAATTAACATAAACATGCTGTTTGGGTATAGATGGCATACTGCGTAGAAGATGCTTATAGTCAAATGAACACCAGCATGAACATGAGACACGTTGATGCAAAGAAAGTTACGAATGCCTATTGACTTGTGTGATCGCATCAAAACCGTAGATTATCATACAGCTCCTGGCATATCTAATTGCAAAAGTGGCGACGCAATTTTGAAATGTCCTCCCTCCTCTCATACACCTTGATATCCTGGGATTTCCTATGGTTTTAAACGCGGATTACGTCTGGTGCTGTAAGTACTCTTAAGTAATCTTAGAAGTAATTAATAAAAACCCGGGAGTTCTAGGGTAAAATCTTTATCTGGTATGACTTCAGTCTTTCTTGACTCACATGTGAGTCTAGAATCTAACATCCAAAAAACCAGCTGGTATGGACATGATTCTGGTAGTTTCCACAGAAGAAACCATTCGCTTCCTTGCTGAAAGGAAGCCGTGGCTCTGTGATGTGCTTGTCCCAGCCTTTACGTTTTAGGGAAAGGCGGACAAGAAAGAACGCCTCATCCTCGTTTCAAGTAATCTTTATTAACGTGTTCGGGGAGCATTTCCGATTTTTCTCTCTTCAACATTTTCTCCTCTTGGACTTCCTGGAACATCTACGTTATACATTGACATTTCGGATTCCAACTTAACTATTATTCATATTTCCACTTTCGACATTTCGAAGTTCAACACTTCCCGTCCATTCCCGTCCATTCATTTCCCTCTGAAAATACAGGGCAGTTTTATTTATTCTTACTCATTCGTCGATGCTTTGTTTCGTGTTGAACAGGTCATGTAAGGCGCTTTTGTACTTTACTGCATTGATCATCTTCGCCCTCGGGGTAGGGTAAAAGACCCAGTGATGGGCCTGTTAATGGCGGGTACTCAGTGATGGGCCACTTCGCAGGAAAATTCCAAAAACTAGGCATTTGTTCCATGAACACCTCTGAAGTGTCTATGTGCTTGAATGCTGTTAGGGTAAAAGACCCAGTGATGGGCCTGTTAATGGCGGGTACTCAGTGATGGGCCACTTCGCAGGAAAATTCCAAAAACTAGGCATTTGTTCCATGAACACCTCTGAAGTGTCCATGTGCTTGAATGCTGCTAGCATATGTCACAACATGGGTAGGCTTGCTATGGAAGCTTAGCTATTGGAATTTTTATGTGCTGTGGCCCATCACTGGGGACCGGTCCATCACTGGGTCTTTTACCCTATATACGCGGTAAATCAAATTTTTAAAAATTTAATTCCTGGAGCTGCCAGGATCTCAGGTCTTAGACACGACAGATAATGTTATGATCACGCATTCACATGATCACGAGTAATTAAGCGACTAATTAAGCGAAGATGGTGAACAGATGGTTGTAAGGATCCCATGGAATACCATGATGGTTTGAATGATGAAAGCTAATTCCTTCGAAAATTGCCTCATGGATAACTGTACCTTACTCGGAATATACTGCACCAAACGAGTCCATTTTTATTACCGGCATCACGTGTATTATCTTCATTCATTTTGCAAAATCTCGCATAAAATTTCTCTGACAGAGATGCATAAACTGCGAAGGATTGCAGATACATGATACTAAAAATATTTTAAAAACACTTTACAACATGTCTTTTAAACAGCAGAGAAGCTGTTTGGAAAATTCTGCAAAATGTGTTTTGGCGGTGCGCATCACGTCAGTTATCGAATTGACTCGTATTCTGTGCTCCTGGTTAGGAGTTGTTTGTTTTTGTTAAGAGTTCATCCTATTAAGGGTGATAGAATTCCCGTCAAGGTCAAGTGAAGTCCAAGTCCAAGGTCCAGTAGTTTCACGCAGAAATACGGAAAATAGCTCGTGTAGTTCTCACAAATGCAATGCTTAAATGGAGAGCAGAAAAAAAATTAAGTTGTGAACATGCATGCGTTTTCCTCCAAGTTGCTCTTAGCTATTTGGACAGATGAAGAATATGGAGTGGGGGCGAGGTCCACAGAATACAGTGCTTCGAAATATTGAGGGGGGAAGAGGAAGACGAAAGAAGATAAGACGGAGAAAAATCAGTGATGACTAGGTCGGGAAAGAAGCGGAAGACGAGAATAACAATAATCGCGAACTTGGGTTCCAGCGTGTGCACACGATGCACACGAAGTGGGGAAATCCACTCGAGCTTCAAGGTCACGGCCAAGTCTCGGAATCCCCCCCAGTCATATAAGGGGGGGGGGAGGAAGTGGGGGGGAGGGGGGGAGGGGGGATGCTCTCCTGGAGCAATTGCACGAATCACTAAAGATAGTCATCCCTATTTCGACTGGGAAACCCCCATGGGCAATGGCGAAGCTCCTTCTTCCCAGAAAGAAGAGGCTTAATGGAAGGGTAAGATCTGAAGGATAAGAAAAAAGAGTCCATGTCCAGCTAATTTGAGTCAGAAGTACTTCGCTTCACACCCTACAGTATAAATAGCCCCGACCGGATCAGATCCATTTCATTCTCCTCCTGCCACTTGACCATTCGACGTAGGCCTGTGCTCTCATCGTTTGTGTCTGGAACTGCGCAGAAACCTTCAAAATGAAGCTCGTGAGTTCGTCCTTTGATTGGCTCTGAATTTTTTGGGGAATGTCCGAGTGTCGATGTCACGATTCATCGCGGTTAGAATTAAGAAATCCTGGGTTCCCAATCGAGACCTTTATTATACTTTTATTGTCCTTTACTATCGATTCGATGCCAGGCTTGAGAAACTTCTACCATCGCAGATCTCGTTCAAGAATTACTCGCTTCTTTCTTTGCTATCCCTTTGAGAGACAATTCATCTCCTCGCATCGCTAACGCAGAATCCTGAGATATGCTTTCGCAGGTATTTACGTTTTTTCTGACTTTCACTTGACGTCTGCATGAAGTAATCGCTAAGTTTGATGTTACTTTTTGACAATCAAAGGTGGAGTCGCTGATTGACTGCCGTAAACGCTTCTAATGTATTTAAGTTTGTACTCCTTTGGGGGAAATAACCCATTTTGAATGTAGCTTTCCTTTATCCATAGACTTTTATGTAGTATTAGCTAGACCGCTTTTCCCTTTCTTCAACCTACCCTGTAAAATCAACTAAGGACTTGTTTCGTGTTTCATGAACCAGTTCAGCGAGGAAGCGTAACGTTAAGCCTCTGGAGTTTCTCGATTAATCTCGATTTTTATATCTGTGTGCCTCCGTAATTCAAAGGCATGTTCGACGCCATACTGTTAATTCAGGGATGTCCTCACACCGTATGTCCATATCCCACAACATCAAACGGTCACCGCTAACTACTGTTTCAATCTCAGCTCATCCCATGAACTGAGCACAAAAATGTATCACACTTGAAAAAAAAGAAGAGCCAAACACTGATGCGAAAGCAGAAGCCGTCACGAATCTGACATAACTCCAGCACAATATCCGGCAACCATGGGGAACGGAAGCTTAGCCCACACGCTAAGCTAAGCCTTAATAAACAGCAACTATTTTCATTTTTCATAGAGAAATGGTGCATCGCCAATAAAAAAAAGGGCACTTATCGTATTCTACAAGTCAATCTCTCTCTTTTGGTGAGGTTATCTCCTTCAGAAACTCCCCAGGAGAGACTTCGCTGGGGGGGAGAAAAAAAAATGAAATTCACATTTTCACAATAGCAAGATTCAATGTTCTCCATAACCCCAGGAGCTTCAAGCTTGCTGAAGCGGTAACAGAAAGGAGTTAAAGAAAGAAAGGGAATAGGAACTCGCCTTTTCCCTTTCCCATTCCCTTCTCATCTCGCGCCTATCGCTTTCCAACAATAATTTTTCTTCGTGTTCTAATAGACATGTGGTTTTTAACGATTTGTTGTCGATGTTCATACAGGTTTTGGGATTGCTTGGGTTGTTGTGCCTGACGGCTCTGGCCCACGGGGCCGAAGACGATGGTGAAGACCTCACCCCTGCTGAATCTGCCCAGTGGGGCGGATATGGGGGCTATGGAGGCTACGGAGGATATGGTGGCGGCTATGGAGGTTATGGTGGCGGCGGCTATGGAGGTAATTCTAGGGTTGTGCTTCGCTTTTTATCGTCATATTGATTATACATACCTATTATACTCTGTTAACTAATGGGGTGATGATGAACCAAGGGAAATTTTATTTATGTCTTGAGGTTACTCCCAGGAGAATAATGAATAACACATGTATATGCACGGCAGCATACGTATAGAATGCAATTTTTCGTTATGCCAACATCCTGTTGTACCAAATCCAAGGAATCGGTGAGGAAGGTCGGTGGAAACGCGAAAGCAAAAAAAAGTCATTCTATTTCTGTCTAAATTAGGATACGCAACACGAATCTGACAGAAAAGTACAGACATCGGTGGTATTTTAAAATACCAAGGCACTAAGGGTTGAAGGCATCTATTTGAAGAACCAGTATCAATTAAGTTGCAGATCTATTATCTCAAAAGAAATTAAGAAAAGGTAAAGTTCAAATATTTGAAAATAGAACTTACCCAGAAATTCCCGCTATGGCGAAAAGATACCCAATGTCCCCCGGTTCTTCGACATTGAGATTTTCTATGTACTTTTTCTTTCCCCTCCTCTTCATAGGCTACGGAGGGTACGGAAGAGGATTCGGTGGTCATCACCGGCGTCATCACCATTTTGGCTGAAGGTCTTCTTTGGGCAGCCATCTTTTCCTCTTCTGCCGTTTCATCTCTTCTCATCTATCGGCCTTTTCCATTCGCATCGCACAGCTTAACCATGGAAGGGATTTTGCTTTCATCATAGCCAAAGTTGATATCTTTGTGATTCTGAATAAAAAGTCAGAGAGCATTTCATATATTTCTGTTCAATATTTCATTTCCTGACATTTATATTCGATACTTTCATGGGAAGAAATTCTCGCGAAATTCTGCAGAGAGCATCAATAAATAAAAAAGTATTTTCGCGTCGTACTTCCCAGTTGGCAGATAAGTTCATTGCTTTACCAAACATATATGGGTTCCGGTGGGAACCTGCCAAAGAGAGCGAATAGGGGCAGCCTCGTTGCATGGGCAAGAAGGGGACCGGGTACTGAACAGGGAAGACGAGAGGAAGGACGAATGGATATCCCATTGGTTCTGTACTCATGAAACTGATTTGAAAGTTTGAAGTGCAGCATCAAGTAGCACATAATGTGGAATCCGCTTTGAATCAACATTCGGATGTCGAATTGATACTCAATGTTGGCTTAATGTTACTTTGGACTATTGCGTGAGACATGCCACAACGTGCTAACCCTTACAAAACGCCTCTCCTGAAGATGAGATGGGAATATTTTTGTTCTCTTGAACACAAAAAACTTAAGGAATCAAGAAAACATTCAGGATAAGGTCCACAATTCCTGGAATTACTGACCTGGAGTAACAGTACAAAATTTGTTTGATTTCTAAATTTGAAGGACACCGGAATGAAAATGAAATTGAAAATCACTTCTTTACAAAGCTATATTGATTGTAAATATAGACTAACCACTGCAGTAACTGGTGTGGTACACGTTTAGAATCTTCTACCATCCCCATATATTTTTCTGGACCACCATAGGTTCAAAAGGGTTCCATGGCACGATTCGTGCATAAGATAGGGTTTCGCTTTGACTTATGAGACCTTTATAATCAAAGTCTACAACTTATAAAATATTTCATGGGAAATGAAGATGGGGGTCGCCATGTTGTATGGAGGACGAAAACGCCCGTTTTCGTTGTAACAGTACTCGTAAGCGCGATTGCCACTTCAGTGTTCTCCGACTTGAATAACGTTTTGGCTTAACTTTGAAGGTCATCTATGTCAAAGAGAAAAAGCACTATCACAAGAACGAATCGTCTCATGGAACCCTTTAGGACCTATTCCAGGTGTTCCCGAACTTCTGGGCTCGAGACTCAGAGTAACGTATCATCAGCTTTTTTTGTTATCACTAAACCCAAACTCAAACTAATCTCAGAGAAGAAGCAATAAGCACAGACCAAGTAAGCTGTATTCCAATGTTAGGCTAGAACAGTGAGAAAGTCAACATATTTTGGGGGATGATGGGCCAGTTGGGTTCTTTTCTAACCTCAACTGACCCATCATTCTCTTTGGCCTTTGACACAACCGGTGGGAGAGTCAACGGGATCCACCAACCGTGCCATTGCGACGATAGGTCACACCCGAATGATTAAGACTAGACTGGAAGGTCGTAAGAATACCCAACTCATACGTGACTCGGGTCGGGTCGGTCATCTTGGCTGAGGACCGAACCCATCCGAGCACAGGGCGCATTCTTGAGTTGATTGGAACCACTGAGCAAAGAAAAAAGAGCTGGAGATGGCACGCCCATAGAGATCGTATATTTCATACGATCTCAATGGGCATGCGAGTCTGTCGTGCCCAAGGAGGCTTCTTACGAGGTATTGAAAATACGTTCCAATCTATTCACATTTGAATAAGTTCGTGTCAAGCGATAAAACAAATCTCAGCATAACATCATGAAAAGGCAATGTCCCGATCGAGGGCTCGACTCATAGTCCAGTCATTACACTAGCAAAGCAAACTCCCTCACAAAACGTCAACCTGCACCCACCAGGGGTGGACGGCAGGTGGATGACAGGTGGAAAGGAGGTGGACGCTCGCCCCCCTCCTCCCCCGGGGGACAGGAGGTGGACACTAGCTGTGGAAAAGGAGGGGGACAGAGGATGAACGTGCACTTCTCCCTCGAGAGAAAGGAGGAGGATTTTGATTCCACCTGGGGGGACTGAAGGTATTAGAGGATCTGGACAACAGGAGGAAGAAGCGGTTAACAAGTGAACAGGAGGAAATGTAGAGATAGGGATGGCACTGGGTTCGGTGGTATAATGGTAACACACCTAGCCGGCAATCAGGAAGCCCGGGTTCAAAACCCGGCTGTCCACTTGTAACGAGGTGGCTAAACTTGAGGATCCGTGACAGCATCTAGGTAGCGAAATAAAGGTACCTCCTATAAACATAGATTCACCCAATTTTTGCTTGATTTCGGATGCGTGCTGCTTTGCACAGTAAGCGCGGCAAGTTAATCACGTGTTATGGGCTTTGGTAACCTGTAGCGGCCATGTTGCACACCCCGCCCAGGCCCCTGCTTCAGCTAGCATCACTGAGCTAAGAAATAGAACTGGAGATGGCGCGGCCATAGGAGTAGCATAGGGAAAACGGGTGCATTTTGAAGCCATATTGGTTGTGTCTAGGCTAAAGCGGGCCTGCGGTGAGCATTGGCCGAGTAATGGAGCAGGTACCGCGGGAACACTGGAGCAGCCCTTCTGAATACGGAAGCATGCCCTGCCAATACCCTTTTTGAAGCCATATTGGTTGGGTTTAGGCAAAAGCGGGCCTGCGGTGAGCATTGGCCGAGTAATGGAGCAGGTACCGCGGGAACACTGGAGCAGCCCTTCTGAATAGGGAAGCATGCCCTGCCAATACCCGCCAACACCTCTACCATGTACCTCGTGGTCGCCCTTCGTTTCCTTTAGCCTATGTTTACCTTTGAATGTTCAATCGAAGTTCGTTTGACTTTATGCCTTAGACTTGCTGTAAAATATGTCGACTGTGATCATGCAAGGGTGGCGTAACGTTATCGCCTTAGTAGGCCCAGCAATCTCAACAAAGGCAAGCCTGGAGCTTGGAGGCCCACTCGAGAAATAGGAGACTCGCCCACAATAAAGATGAGTTCCGACATGACGTTATCAGCCCTACGATACTCCCCCAGAATTATTAGGTACCATGACTGCCTGCCATCATGGTCACGACAGCAAGAAAACTGGGATGGGAAATTATGAAAATCCCATTGTAGTGAATGGAGAAGAGCCATCACGGACCCAAGTAAGATGGCTTCCAATTGCATTGTGCGCCATCTCCAGTTCTACTTCTTAGCTCAGTGGGCCCACCCTGTTCCCACGATGAAAGGGGAGCCTCAGAGGTCATCCACCAGTGATGCCCCCTTCCCCTTGAAAGGACTGGCCCACGAGCTCTTTTTGTCGGAACTTTTTTTTCGCGTTTATATTAGCGACATTGTTCTGTGGACAGAGACTTGCGTGACTAATCATAGTCATGGATTCTGCAAGAAATCAAATCCGCGAGTTAGGTAATTCATTTGACCACTGCTAATGTAGGATTCGCGAAATGCAAAAACAGAGCAACAAAGGCAGCTATTGAAGTAATAAATTCCAAAGGAATAAGCTTGCCTGCATACGCCCATGTCGCTAGCCAGTTCTCCGAAAGATTCTCTCAATGGTACGTGGTGGCAGATTCAAGAAAAAGGAGGAGTTCTCCTCGCATGAATTAGAAGTTTTGGTGGAAGAAGTGCACCAGCGAAAAAGTGTACTGTTTGGAAAGTTCACATCCACTTTAACAGCTTCAACAAAGCAACGTGCATGGGCGGCGATTGCAGAGCGAGTCAATGCAGCAGCAAAGAGTCCAAGATCGGTTGATGATATCAAGAAGAAATGGAGCAATCTTGCCTCAAATGTGAAGCAAGGAGAAAGCAATCAAGTACTGGAACGGGTGGTGGAAGTCGTGTGTAAATCGATCGGGACCAACGAGCTTCATTGAGCACTTCAAGTGCTCATGCTGAACCAAGGTATGCACTTTCGCTAATATAATTGGACTCGAGTAAGCTTGGGGTTGTGATAAGTTATAATCGAAAGCTTCGGGAAGGAAATGCAGTATATTCTGAGAAGTCATACATCTCACAAGCATGGCTGGAAATTTATATTTAGACTTCCTGAGGCGGAAGAACGCCGTCAGAAGAAAGGGGAGAACCGCCATCTTCGAAAAGAAAACGAAGCGGAAGTTACGAAGAGAGGCTGCTTGCCCTCGAAGAGGAGAAAGTCCGCTATCTCGGGGAAATTTCTGGATTCTTAAAGCAAATAGCCGAGAATGGAATTCCCGTGAGAAGCACAGATGCTTCCGCGTTTGCTGAAGAACCTGTTGAAACCGTTCTTGGAGAGACATTTTCGACATTATAAGTGGCTCATTTATTTCTTTGTCAGTTTGAAGGTATTTTAAACAATATTTTGGTTTACCAAGTCTGGTAAGTCGGCTGCCTAGTCGAAATTTCATTATGCAAAGTGTCTTTTAAAACAGATCCATATTTATTCGCCCAAGCCTTGGGGTGCACAAGTCGAAAGACAGAGGGCCATTTCCAACTTTTACTCACATACCGCGGGCTGTTTGTCTGACTACCTGTAGTCAACAAAGCAAGGTAGCACTTACAACGCTACCAGTCATGACAGTCTGCATGTTGGGCCCATGGCCTTGAGTGGCTTGGCCTCGTAGCTTCCGCACATTTAGCCTATGGAGCTAGGCTCTACGTACTTCGGAACACACTACTACCTAAATTCATTGGCATCTCCCAATGCTAAGTACACTTCGTTGACTGCTCTTCCTCTTAGCCTATAGTCTATATCGGGATTGACTTGTAGGCCACTCGTGTTAGGCAAAAGCATTAGCATTCTCGGTCGGATAAGTCGAAAAATCCTTGGATGCGAATGAGTTAAAAGTAGGGCTGTCATGATAGCAGTTTGCAAAACATCGGGGCGGGGGGATTCCATATTTTCTCGCCGCGATCGGAGCGCGGACCTCTATCCGGCTTCCTTAATCTCACGCTTGTGATCGGGGTGGAAGGGAATGTGTGACCTTCGCAAAGAGTGATGTCATCTTCGGTAATTGGGGGCATGGTAGGCTTCATCATTTCATCGATGGATGCATCTGGACAACCCTAATTTTTCCTAATTTCGGTTGAGTATCAGCTGCCAAGCCCCGTTCACGCAATTTTTTTTTTCTTTTTCTTCGTTCTA